GTCAAGGGTCTTTCTTTCCTAAACGTCTAAGTTGGGGCAGGTCTGACACAAGCAAAACAAGTGTAGAATTCATTTAAATATACAGAGCAACCAAAAATTGTCTTGTATCTTTTACACATAAAGATAGATGAATGTTAGAAATAAAAACACATTACCTCATATGAATTCAATATTATGCACTCTCTCCTGTCATAGAAAGACTATGGATTTTGAAAAATGAACATACCTGAAAGAGGAGTCCTGAGAATTTCTCCTCATCAGAGTTTCTGGTTATGGAGATGGAAGGCTGAGGGCCTCCTCTTCGTTAGCCTGAATATCCCAGTGGCCCTTGCACACAGAAAAAGAGTACTTGCACTTCACTTGCATGGAAGACATGGAGGAACATTACACTGTTCTCTTCAGTTCCAGAGAGCTCCATAAATGCAGAAATTAAAAAGTTACTAGACACAGAAAAAATACAGAGATATTTGGAGAAGATGGCATATGATTTCTCCCTCACAGTCAATGTTTTTGCTGCACAAAGGACAGCCCACTTTATTCACAAAGAGGGCAAGAAACTGGAGATGGAGGAAGAGACTGACATGTTCAGTCAGAGTGTAAGCTTTGGATTCAAGGTTTTGCTCTGGGGAAAGATGTCCTTATGCATCACGTTGCTCTCTAGGCTGTCCAATAGAAAAAATTACATCATCCCGTGGGATTTCAAATAACAATTCTTATGTGTTAGTTGTTACATCAACTAACTGCTTGCTGCTGGACTTTTTTTAAAAAAAAACAAGTTTTATTAATTTTTCAGTTTTTACATCCAAGTGCTTAGGAAACAACGTGGTGATGGGGTAATCAATAATCCAATAACAAAGGCATACATATATTCCTCAGGTTAACTCCATAAAGGTTACCTCTCTATTTCCCTTAATTAATATAACATATTAAAGTTAATACATTTCTACAGTGCTTTTTTGTAAAAAAAAAAAAAAAAAAAAGGTGGCGGAACTCACACACGTCATACAACCCGCCTTGCCTATCCTACAAGGTTCCATCCAAAAAAGGTGCCAGAACTCTGTTCTGGGCGTTCTATGACAAAAAAAGCCCTGCATTTTTAAATAGAGCTCAATCAATCAATACATTTATCAATAACATTTTAGTTATACAGATCCATGTCCTGTTTTTAAAATTTACATAAGTCCAATAACCATATTCCAATTAGCCTTAAATGACCATATTATTTACACTTCAGGTAGCCCTAATTTCCCTCATTTCATTACATAATAATTATGATTTCTAAAATAAACATATTATTCCAAAAGTTACATTCTTACTTTTCCCAAATCTATTCTATTTCTTATCCTAATAGCTCCTCATTTCACAAATCCATTTCCTTATTCTCATTCTATTACCAAATAGTTATCATATCTAAGATAGCCATGTTATTCCAAAAGTTACATTCTTACTCTATTTCACAGATATATTCTATTTCTTATCCTAGTAACTCCCCAATTACTAATAAAGTATCTTCCATTGTCTCAAAACCTTTTCCATATCTTTATTCGTGGTTTCAGTATAGACAATTACTGGAAAGGTGGAAGATAGATTATAAAGTGGGTTTGATTAGAGAGGATGAAAATTTGTTGAAACAAATTAAAGATCAAAGTCGATCTCATATAAAAAGAATTTATGATGTATTAGTGGAAATGGATTCAGAAACAGAATTAGTTAAAGATTGCATGATCAAATGGGCTCAAAATTTTGATGAGCCGGTTTTATTAGAAACATGGGAGATAATTTGGGTGAGGAATGTTAAATTCATGCAAGCTCAAAATTTACGGGAAAATTTTTATAAAATGTTTTATAGATGGCACCTTGGTCCACAAAAGATGTCTCGTATGTATTCAAATTTGCAACCTAAATGTTGGAGATGTGGTTGTTTGGATGCAATGTATTATCATATTTGGTGGTCATGTAAAAGTATAAAAGCTTTTTGGATAAAGATATGGTGGAATATTCAAAAAAATTTTAAGAGAAGGATAAAATTCACTCCACAATTGTTTTTGTTAGGTATTATTATTGATTGTGATGATAAAGAAATTATTTTAATGTTAAATTTAATTACAGCGGCAAGATTGTTGATAGGACAATATTGGAAGAAGGAATTTTTGCCTACTTTGGAGGAATGGTTTTTGAAAGTTTCTTATTTATCTGAAATGGCAAAAATTTCGGCTTATTTGAAAGATCAATCACAAGAGAAATATCTCTTGGTGTGGAAAAGATGGATAAACTTTATACAGTATAAGTATGATATTAAAAGATATTATTTAGCTTTTGAATAATTTATGTTTAAAGTTTAAAGTTTAAGATAATAAGTATTTTTTTATTATATATATATATTGGACTTTTTTATTATATATATATATTGGATTTTTTTTAATGTAACTTTTGTTTGAGGTTTACTTAAGTTTAAATGTTTTGTATTCTTAGTTCTAGTTAACCCTGTATTCAGCTCTGGGAAGAGGGGAGAGGGTTTTTGGGAGGGTAGGGAGGTAGTGGGAGAGGGATTTTATTGTAAAATTGCAAAAACTTTTAATAAAAAAAAGAATAAAAAAAACATTTTCCATATCACAATTCAAAACTATAATCTGACAGTTAGTTTTCATCTCCATTATGAATCTAAATCCTAATTATTAAATCAATCAATATCTCTAAAAATCTTTTTAACCTATTAAATGTAATTTTAAGTCCCATTTTTAAATCTAGCTCTAGCTTTCTTTCTGTGCCAAGCAGGCTTCCATATCAGAGCCTCTATATCATCAGATATGTCTCCCTTCATTCCTACACATATCATTTGAGTCAAGGGAGAACATCCAGTTATCAATTTTTCAAAGTGATTGGCTTCTTTGTAATTATTAGGTTGTTGCCCTAATAGTTCAGATCTTGATGTTTGGTTATGCATGTTTATCATCTGTTCAATCTGGTCTTGTTCCTCTTCTCCTTTTTCCGATATCATCTGAGTAACATAGTTGGTCATATCCAGTGTTGTGGTTACTAATTGGTTGTCAAAGTTGTCAAAGTTCTCAATATATTGTGTTTGTAGATCGGTTCCTATTGCTTTTGAAGTTACATGTGGTTTAATTGGAGTCGCTCTTTGCTCATCAAAATTCTCAATGGGTTGTGGGTAGTATTGTGTAAAATCCTCTTTGATATTGGTTTGTTCCTCTTCTAATGTTTTTTGGCTTATAAGTTGATCAGTTGGAGTCTAGAATTCAGTTTGTAAATTTGAGGTAGCATCTTTGGTCTTCATTCTGGAATTCATTTGTTCAGTAGCTTCAAGAATTTTTTCCAATATAAGTTTATAATTAAGTTGTGGATAGTTCCTCCATCTCAATAGGTTGTACGTAGTATTGTGTGAAGTCCTCTTTGATGTTAATCTGTTCCTCCTCTGCTATTCCTTGGCCTGTAAGTTGATCAGTTGGAGTCTGGGGTTCAATTTGTAATTCTAGGGTAACATCTTTAGCTTTCATTCTGGAATTTATTTGCTCAGTAGCTTCAAGGATTTTTTCCAGTATAAGGTTATAGTTAAGTTGTGGGTAGAGTTCCTCCATTTCTATTTTGTGTTTAATAACAGTCAACCAGTATCCACCTCCACAATTTCTAATAGTTGGTCTCACCACCCAGCTGTTTCCCAAGTCTTATCTTTTCCCTTTTGTATTGATTTGAAGGTCAAATCCGGCTTCAAAATAAAAAAAATTCAATTGCTGTGCCAAATTTCACCACAAGATGTCCCAGGTAGGCTATGATTTTTTTTCCAGAGCCAATATAGTTTTTATCCAGTTAAAAGAAACGGGAAAAAACCAATATTTCCCAACTTAATAGGTAGATAGAATAATAAAATTCTATAATAGGGACTTTTTGAGGCCCCAAAGTGTCCAAAAATAGAAATCCAGTTATTTAGTCATTAAAAATTAATTATTCTTTCTTTTCTTTCCAAAGCTTATATTCCCAGGTTAAGCAAACACCGCTTAATTAGAAGCAGGGAAATAATTCCAGGGGCTTTTCACAGGAAGTTAGTTAGGGTGACAGAAAGGTAAGAAAAGGTCTCACCCGGATCTTCCACAGTGGTTCTTTGTGCTTAATTGTTCTTCTGGCTTTCGGCTGGTACAGCTAAGTGATCAGCAATGTTGATGGCCGATCTTTTCTTTGTCGGTCCTAAGGAGTTGCCTTGGATTGCAGAAGGTGCTGCCGCCCTTCTGCGGACTACCGAGTGGTGGTCATCCCGCCAGGTGGTCATCCCGCCAGGGCGACTTTCAACCCTGTCAAGGGTCTACTGGCGAAGGGAAACCGGATGGTGAAGAGAGGACTCTCCTCACACGTCCACTAGCGCTGCAATCCAGAACCAGACGGCTGCTGCTGGACTTCTTTAGTTATAATTTCAGTTAAAATAGTGAAAAATGAACAATTAGTATTACAATATTATATTAGATTTGTTGCAAAGAGTCGTTTATTGCTATAACTAGAATACCTGGAGAGATGTACATTGAATTGGAGGAAAACAAGCAGGTATATTTAACTAGGAATTATTGTTGATTCCATCTAGACCTAGAATTGTTCTGGCTCAGCTACATCTTGGTTATTTTTATAGAAAATATAGTCTTGAGAATCTTGCTCATATATGTAAATGTACATATATGAATAAACCATCATGTAATGTATATATTTTACATGTTAAACAATGAAACTCTTTTGTGTAAATATTATTGCGCTATGTAATAATATAATTATGGTTACAAAAGTATGAAATACTGGAATATGCATAAATGGTAAAAAAAGAAGCGAATATTTATTAAGACAGTTGACAAAGGCAGATTTCTTGTGCATCACCATCATGATTCCAGATGAATGAGCTAAAGAGGTGATGTCATAAAGGTGACAGTAACAACTGAGATGACTTGGAGCTCTTCTAGCAGGAACTGGTAAACTAACATTCTCTTCTGCATTTGAAATTTCAAAAAGGCAAGTCCCCTTCTGATGAAGCTAAAGGAAAGAAATCTACAAGATGGGATATTTCATTCCGATCTCTTGTCATAGTTCCACACTTTTGTGGACGATTCTTGCACTTGGAATGAAATGGATAGAAGAGGCCCTGAGTTGCCCCACAGAATGTACTTGTAACAAGTGGGAAGTGAACTGCACAGGAAAAAAATTACACAACTTTCCAACCACAATTCCTCTGACTACCAAAAAACTAATTCTAGCACAGAATAATCTAACCAATTTACCACTATTAACCATGAGTTATATCAATGAACTAGTCCACCTCGATTGCAGCCACAATCTGATAACAATGGACTTGGATTTCAGCTTTCCAGGATTAGTCAAACTGACATATTTGGATCTCAGTTTCAACAAGCTCTCTCACATAACATCCTTCACTTTTTCACAACTGAGTGAGCTGCTGCTCTTAAATCTCTCTGGCAATCCATTGATGGTGCAGATTATGGAACGGGCCTTTGAAAAGAACAGTCTTCTAAGATATATAGATGTGAGGGATTGTGGCTTGTCTTACCTCAGTGCTGAAACATTTCAAAAACTGTACAGACTTCGTATTTTGGGAATAAAAGGTAACCCCTGGAATTGTGACTGCAAATTTCTGACATTCTCCAACTGGCTAACAAATACTGATATTAAGTCCCCAGGTGAGATCGGACTTCATGATGGATACCTCTTTTATTCCCCAGGTTCATTAGGAATGTAGATTCTTCAATTGGCAGTCAGATCCAAAGACCTACATAATTACACCCCACTAAGTCCCTGTGTATTTCTGCTACAGACAACTTTCACAAATCCTCAGATTAGTCTGTGCAGTCAGAACATCAGTACCATGATACCATCTCTGAACTCAGTTGAAATTTATCATTGTGGGCCCACGATGCTATCTTTATTTATAGTTATCTGATAACGCCATAACATGTAAACATGTTCAATTCCTTGTTCCTAATTACTTGCAAACTCAATATGTATAAAGCAGCCTATGGTTTTCATAAAGAGGGTTTAATTGTAATACTGCTATATCAATTTTATATAATTAACTTTTATGCTGGGCATATAAAGTATCCTCTGTTCATCTTAGCTATATGTTTCTGGCTATTAACAGGGTATTTGAATTTGTATAATAAATCATATAGGGATATTAAAACTAGGTATTTTTTGTTGTTTAGACTTGAAATAGACTCAGCAGATCGAAAGGGAGAAAAAGGGTTTTAAAACAGAGATGATCAGAAGTACAAATATATACTGAGATCCAACAGTTCCACAGAGCTTGCAGTTATGATGATGATTAAAAAGTAACTTTGCAACCAATCCTCACACTTATGACTCTTGTAGAGTTATAAAGTAAAAGAACTCTGAAGGAAAATCATAAGCACAGTCGCAGTTTCACTTAGCAACCACTTTGTTTAATGACTAGGTTGCTGATCCCAATTGTCCATGGCAGAATTAGAAAATGCTGGATATTGGCTTTAAAAGAAATGAAAGTCATGAAAAGGCTTGACTTGTCAAGGGAATTAGCAATTTATTACTGTTACATTGCAAGAAGGATGAAATTTAATATATATTGATAGTCTTATCATATAACTATTAATATGAGCCAGCAGTGTGCTGCAGCTGCCAAAAAAAGCCAATCTAGTTGTAGAGATACCAGCAACTGTTTAAAATTCACATTAGAATTATTCTTGTTTTATGTTTTGTTTTGTTTTTGCAGATTTTGAGAATACCACTTGCAGTAAACCAGAAAAAATGCAGGGTCTTTCTCTCATCAAGGCAAAATTGGAGCTCCATTACCTGTGCCTTCTGCACTTACAACTAGAAGATTTCATATACATCTGTCTATTAACCTTCTGTGTCTTCTTGGGAGGAACTCTAGTGGCATGGCTGGTTGGGTTTGGCACAGTGATGTATTACCATCCTGTAATGAGACTATATGATGAACCAGAGGATGAAGAGTACAGAATGATTTAACTTATTGTTTTGGAGCTCTTCCAAGTGTCAACACCTAATGTAGATGCACCAATATTTTAGTCCCTTTGTTTCATTGCAAAATTCTTTAGTTGAAGTTTAATTCTTTAACTCATTTCAAGAGAAAGATTTCATTTTATTTCATTATGAATAAAAATACCACCTTGAGGTAGGAAATAGAATGATCGAAAAAGAGGAATATATATATATCAGAGAAACAAAAATTTCTAATGTGGATGTATGGGTGTGTCTTCCAAAAATGAAATATTCCCAAGAAAATGTAGAAGTAACAGAATAGAGGGCAAGCAAGAAAAACCTCCTTTTTATGTGATTGGCTATAAAAAGTTTGTCTCTGAACAGAGATTTTGGTAGGAATAAGCAAAAGCAGTCACTCAGGCCTCACTCATGAAAACTGCACAATGGAAAGAATCCGAAAGATTTTTTTTTTTTCCCAGTACTGGCATTAAGAGAAGTTGAAAACAATTACCCCCTCTCCTTTTTTTAAGCATTTTGAGTTTCAGCCCAAGTCCATTTCAACTGAAAAAAACAATTAATGTAATGGAAATGTGGTAAGAACGCATGCCCCTCCCAAATCCTTTTTACTATGCCCCCCAATCACAAGAATAAAGCTCAGGAAAAGAAATACTGAAACAATGTTTCACTCATGAACTTGAGCAATCCTGGTCATTGAGAAAACTGGAAACATTGACTCAAGCCTACCTATTCACTAAAGGAGGCATGCTAGAGGCAACAGACAGATTAAAGATAACAGGATAAAATCAATTACATTTGCTTGACAGGATTAAGACCAAGGGAAGCTGATACTTAAGACCTATCACAAGCCTTGTGAAGTAAAATCAATCAAATAATAAAAGCACACAAAGCAAGCCTCAAAATTACAAAATATTGTAAACTGTATAAAAATCCTTGCTCTCATCAAGCTAATTTGTCAGCCACCTCAGAAACATGCTGCTGCCATTTTAGTTTCTGGCTATCAAATAAACAGAGACTTTCTTTCCTGCAGCCTGGCTCCATTTTATTTCCAGCATCTTTCTCCCAGCTTGGAACCAGACCAAATGCTACAGGGCTCTCAGAGTTTAAAAAGTTACTAGTCCTAATAAAACCTATTCTCTTCTAGAGTCTGTGGGGTAGTTGTGGAGCAGCAGTTCTGTACTATGCTGGAGTAGCTATTTTGGTTCTTGTTGTGTCCTGAGCCTGCAAAAGCAGGACGTTGCAATGGTTGTGGGCTGTTGCAAGCTGCCCGGGACCAGACTGAGTGGCGCTGGCCTGCACGCATGCGCAAGGAGCGGAAGCGCGCCAGTTTGTTACCTTTTTGCCCGGGGATTCTATTAAAGGATGCAGAGAGGCCTGCGAGCCTGAGTTGTGTTGGAGAGAGCTGCTGAGAATAAAGGCTGTTAGAATCAACAGAATGTGTGCTCTTCTTTCGCCATCAACTGAGGACTCAACACTGGCGACGAAGGTGGGATCGCTTACAAGATTAAGGAAGAAGATTTGTAAGGCTTACCCAAGAGTCCTGGAGAGAGGAAGACGGTATTAAATTCAGCATCTGGCCTGCCAGTACAGCGTCGCTGTGTTGTAGAAGTGAGAGACTTGAGTCAGCTCTTTCAAGGAAAGGGAAGTTTATTTGCGTAGGTTCAGAGAGCTATACACAGCTAAAAAAAAGTCTGAACCCCCAGACTAGGCGTAGATGATCATTTTTATAACCCGTAATACGTCAGTATTTCCTGATCAAGACGTATTCCATACATGGTTACATTCTATAGTTCCTTATTCTAACATAGGAAAGTTACTAGACATGGTTATAATCTATAGTTCCTCTTTTAACATAGGAATGCTTTTAGCAGTTAGCAATATTTCAAGTGTTAAGCAGTTTTCAATATACCATGTGATAAACAGTTCGCAATATATCATATGCAGAGCTGAGAACAGGATGTCTGGCCATTCTAATTTTAAGGGTTGTCTAGTAAGCAGGAAAACCTCCCTTTCACTCCCAATCTCTGTCGGACAATCAGTATTTTTCCAGCTTCCCACTTTATTCCCCCCTGATGAGACTTATCTCAACTTTGCAGATAAGTTTCATTCTGTAACACTTGGGTCTGATGTATGTATGTTGTTATATTCTTGTTTCTGGAATTCCCACATGGCCATAACTTGAGCCGTAGCTTTTCTCTCTGCAAGCAGGGACACTTGTTTAGGCAGTGTTATGTTATGCATCATTGAAAAGGTACATTGCCGAAGACAACAGCTACTAATCAGAATAGCAATAAAGATGACCACTGCTCTTATAATGTTTCCAATAAGACCCATTGGGAGCCAAGACCATAAGTTACTCCACCAATTTCCCAGGGAATCTATTTGCAGATCCAGTGCCATTTTATGGAGCACTTTAATTTGCTTATTTATAACTGGGGATTGATCTGAAAGGTTAAAACAGCACATCCCCTCAAAGGCCTCACATCCCATGTGTTGGCAGAGTAGAAGATAGTCTATGGCTGCCCTATTTTGCAAAATTGCCTTACGTAATTCTATCATTTCCTGATTGATAGCAGACAAGGCTATTGAAGTGGCATTGATAGTTTTAGCCAAGTTGCAGGCCACAGAATTTATATTGACACGAGCCCTTAAAGCAAGTGCAGGAACTCCCACCAACAAGACAGCCAAAGCATTGTATTCAGCAGCGTTCAGAAGAGTACGAGGGGAATCACAATCCTCATTCAAAACTTCTGCCCTTTTGTAACGTGTGGTGTTAGGGGAGGTGAAAAGTGATCTATCTGGTAGGAAGGTAGTCAGTCTACTTAGACAGCAATATGTAGTGCTTAGATTGGCAGGAATGTAATTAAAAGAGTCTTTTCCACAAGTGAAGAACCACCCTCTAGGTAACAATATGTTTGCATAACCAAAGGACACTGATTGGAAAGATGTGCAATTCAGCTTTTCTTGGCTCACCTTCAGGCAATGAGGTAGGAGTGTACTTTGCTCACAACCTGTAATATGTGCACATTGTAAGTCTTCTGGAATGGCTACATTAGGTGTATGCAAAGCTAGAGCATCGGGTGGTAGAAACTTGGAAATGTGACCCCAGCTGTACAGTGTTTCATAGCCTATATGTTCTTTAAACACATAGTGACTGAACTCCTTGGCCACTGTGACTGGAACACATACTGGTATTAAACATGTGGACAGCAGATTCTCCATGTCATATGCTTCAGAAAGGCAAAAATCTGTTGTATTGGCTATTTTAGCCAACTGGACCCACAAATTATATTGCATCCTTGACTCCAATGGATGGGGCACATCCTTTTTCTGGTGGGACCTTTTACTCCATTTTCTCTCTGGGCGTTTCCTCTGGGGTTTCCAGATAGTGACTCCAAACTCCACTGGAATTACACGTACAATGCAAGTCCCCTTCCATCCCGTCTTTAACTGCGAGACTAGGGTGACCCGCTCCCAACCCCAGAATAGAGGAGGCCCACATTCCAATGTTATAGGAGGAGGAGGCTTCTTATAAGGAGCCCTAACACATATGCCTTTCCTAAGAATATATCCAGCATATTGACAGGCTTCTGGGTTGACAGGTTGTCTAGTGATGCAAGTTTCTTTAACTATTCTGTCAAACACTAGTGGAAATTGACAAGGATGAGGCAAGATACCATTCCAGCATTCTGGTGAAAAACCAATGGGGGGTGACCATCACAAGGGCCAGTGCCTATAGCATAAGACTGAACAATACCAGGAGCCTCTTCTGGCTTGCTCCATTGCCCTAGATTAAAAAGACAAACATTACTACATGCAACAATAGTACTATATAAAAGCAGATATAATCCTTTCATCCTTTCTTCTCCCGTGCATAGAAAGCCAGCTTCCGGGAGTGACTTAGCAAGGGGTTGAATTCCAACCGAACAGCTGTAGATATATGTGCAGGATACACTTGTGCTACTATAATATCTGTTATACAAACAATAAAACATTCATTAAACACATTAAACATGTTTAAGAGTGAGCTTGGTAGAAACCTTTGGATCCCTGGTCACTGTCCACAGGGGTCTGCTGCCGCCTTGACTCTGGTCCAGTGGATCCAGGACTTAGATTCTGCAATCTTTATAGCTAAGGGAGAGGCCATTATCACCTCATAAGGCCCTCTCCATCTCCCTTCCAGTTGTTTATGTTTCCAATGTTTCACCCACACCTTATCCCCAGGTTTAAAAGGATGACATCTTGTTACTAATCTAGGTGGTGTTTGTTCAATAACATAGTTCCTAAGTTTTTCCACCTGCCTGTTCATGCGCCATTTCCAGAGTCCACACTCCCCCCTGATGGCCCTTTACAATGCATAACTGAAACCTTTGCTGGCTTTTGTACTGCATCGAGAAGACACTTTATCAAGTGTCCATGTAACACATGTTTGCCAGCCGAATCCCTGAATCCCCTCTCCTTATACACAGCACCATGAGCATGTAAAGTTAGAAAAGCATATTTACTATCTGTCCAAACATTTAAAGTTTCCCCTTCAGCCCTTTCCAATGCCCTGATTAATGCCCATAATTCTGCTACTTGAGCACTACAGCCTGCTCCAAGCGGACTACTTTCCACCACCTCCTCATCATTTACAATAGCATATCCAGAAACCCTCTTGCCATCATGCATGTAACTTGAGCCATCTGTATACCAATTCAGGGTAGCATCCTGAAGAGGGATATCAGATAGATCTGGACGGCTTGAGTACACAGTCTCTAAAACTTGTAAGCAGTCATGCTCTGAATCAACTTCTGTGGGCAATAGGGTTGCAGGGTTCAGTCGGTTGGACACCACTAATTTCACTTGAGGGTTTTCAATCATCATTGCCTGATACTTAAAAAGCCTTTGACTGCTGATCCACAAATGCCCTTTATTATCCAAGATAGAATGGACTGCATGAGGAGTGTGGACACTTATGGGACATGAGAAGGTCAATTTATTACAGCCCTGTAAAAGGACTGCTATAGCAGCAAGAACCTTCAAGCAATGTGGCCAACCCTGGGCAACCCCATCCAATTGCTTAGATAAGTAAGCCACCGGGCGTTGCCACTGCCCCAATTGTTGTGTCAACACCCCCAATGCAATATTCTTTTTAGTGTCTACATATAGGTTGAAAGGCTTTTCTAAGTTAGACAAAGCCAAGGCTGGTGCCGATGTGCGGGCTTGCTTCACTTCCTTAAAAGCTTTCCTTTGTTCTCCCTCCCATTCAAAAGGTTCTCTATCACCCCCTTTTGTAGCCAAATAAAGAGGTGCTGCTAATAAGGCATAATTTGGTATCCATATTCAACAAAATCCTGCCAAACCTAAAAATCCCTTAACTGTTGCCTATTTAGGGGTTCAGCAATAGCTAACACTGCTTGCTTCCTTTCCCAGCCTAAAGCTCTATGTCCTTGCTCAATCCATCCATCCGGTCCCTGCCAATCCAATTCCTTCAACTTCCCTCTCTCTATCCCAATCTCCTTTATACCCTTGGGTTCCTCTCTGTCCCCTTCCCCTAAAGGGGAGCCTAGTGGTGGGCCCACCTTCAACACCCCCACATCTTCTACCTATTCTTCCTCTCTAACCTCTTCCTCTCATCTGCCTTCTAAGACATTCTCTTTGCCAATGACCTTCCTCCTTACAATGCCACAGCCAACAACTCTGTCTTCTTATGCATCCTTGCATCTCTCTCTCTTTTCCACCTTATCCCTATTAACAAACACTTTCCTTGCCACTTCCAACAACTCTGTAGCATTCTTCCCTAATGCTTCCTTATGTCATCATAGCTCTGTGCTATGAACCTCTCATTCAACATTCTCACATTATCTGCACTCCTTGGATCAACCTGAGTATAAAGCTCATAAGCCTCAATCAATCTCTGGAGGAAACTCTCTGGACTTTCATCTGCTTCGTGCATCACAAAAGACGGCTTTAACATATTCACCGAAGGCTTTCCAGCCTTGCGAAGA